TACTATTCACAATTCCGTCGACAGATGGTAGCATGGTATGATTCGGATTGCTTGAAGGTGAAGTTGGACCAGTCTGTTGGTTGACGAACATTTCCATTAATTTCATTTGTCGTTCAAGTAGTTATTCCAATTTAGAAGGATCCATAGTTTTCCTTGTCGCCAAATTGTTATGTACTCGTCGCCAAATTATTGCTATGTACTGGTCGAGAATTTAATAGTCCTGACGCAAGAAAGACGGAAATCAGAAGACCACTAGGTTTGCGATGATACTTCCTTTATATTCCAAACACAAGGAGAATCAATATCACACAAGCGTGTGAGAGCAAAAATATATATGAATGTCCAAACAAGTGTGTGAACAAATCAATAGGTAGGCTTAACATGATTGGCTAATCATAATGGAGTATCGATCCATATATACATAGCAAAATATATCAGACTGTCAACAAACACACATATTATATGGATATATGTCACCAAGCAACGGACTGTCAACAAACACTCATATTATATATAATACAAGGGTAATATACATTGTTAAAAGAGACAGGTTCATCAAGGTGAAATGGTCACAGACTAAGAGAGCAACAGAAAGAGAGACCACCATACACACACATATACATATATATATGGATACATATCAGCTATTGTTACTCTTGGGTCCTGAGTGAAACATAGGGCTTCAACGGCACAACTGTCTTTCACTGTCTTTTCTGAAGTATTTCTTCGTCTGCCTCCACAATTACACATAAGCTCTCGTCTTATTTTCATGCGATCTCCTTTACTTCACCCTTGAATCAATGCCTAAATCGACGTATGCTTTGTATTCCATTTGAAGTTTGACTTAGTGCGCGATATCAGTCAATGGTCTCCACTGTTGTGTGTGTCTGTGTCCGACGATTGGTTGGGGAATAAGTTCTTGTTTGGTTCGTTGATTGTCAGAGTTACTTGTTTGTCAGCGAAAGCAGAAGCTGTTAATAAAGTCTGAAGTGACTTCTTGGAAATGCTCTTCCTGATGCGCTAGGTCTCTGAACTATTAAAAAGAATTGACTTTACGTTGGTGTTAAAAATTCGAATTTTGTTCTTCATTCTGAGTGTAGCATATTTCTACTTACCTGGCGCCGAGTTCAGGGTGATCAAGAATGCTCCAACCCCGAGTGGAGGCTCACCATTGCACCTCGGTGCCCTGAAACTCGCAACGGTCCTTAATCGGATGCGCTCGGGTGTGTAGTTTTTGTCAGTGGGGAGGCCTCATGGTCCTCCCTTTTAAAAAAAGTGCTTCGGTGACCCAGCGGTTAGGATTCTCGCCGACCATGCACATGGTATGGGGTTAGATCCCCTACCGATGCACACCCGATATCTATGGTAGGCCTGCAAAATTTGGGCTACCGATATCATATGCTGAAAATTCCATACTTGTACCGAAAATACGGTGTGGCATCAAGCTTTAATAAAAAATAAACAAAAATAAATCAAGGTATGTCGTGCCATTCGGATTCTGGTGTTGATATAATGACTTGTTACCACGAGGGAATAATCTCATCGGCTTATAATATACAGATGATATAGCCTTCCCTCCTAGGTGAAGATGCTGACAAAATAGAGCAAAGTCTTCTCAACACCATGAATTGAAATTTGAGAATGTTGGACATACGATTCACCTGCTGCCGTCAAATGTAAGATGATTAAGCTACAGGACTTGACTGGACTGGACTACATTGACACACTCACTCCTAGCTTAAAGATAGGCAGAAGTGAAGTGGTTAGTGGAGCGTGTTGACCACTTCACTAACTTGGGAAGTTGTATCAGTCATTCACAACAATGGATACAGAAGGCTCGTCCGGCATTTTTTTTGCCAAACTACGCTATTTCTGGCTTAGCAGACGTCATATCCAACTGGCTGTCGACCAAAGGACGTGTGTACTGTACACCAGCAGTACGCTCCATCCTCCTTTATCGCAGGCTGTGAGAAATGACTATTGAAAGCAGGAGACATGAAAAGCCTGGCTAGCTGTATTTGATCTTAGGTGTCTGCCTTCTGTCGCCCGTGTGAAGTGCTGGTATAATAAGATGATTAACTTTGAGGTTAGGCGTCGATAGGCTAGTCATGGCCCTCCTGGACAATGGGCAATGTTAGCTGACATAGCATAGATCAGATTGGAAAAGAGTTAACTAGTGGTGTTCAACCCAAGACATGGATTCATTGGTCAATGTAATTCACAACAGTTAGTTTAAGCCACGTAGAGAATTGTAGACTTCATGGTTATGGTCCCCCGGGACGATAAAGACCGATAAAGGCTAGAGACAATTGGTGATATATGGCTGGTTCAAAATCGTTGTTCTCAGTGATGGCTGGAGTAGATGCATCCACTCCTTGTGACTTATAATACCCAATGAAACTATATTGTTCTTACATATTACTATTCTGTCTGCCTCATATCTCTGTTTTGCGTTTCTTTTTACTTTCTTCTCTTGCTTTGTGTGCTAAGTGACGGACGTGTGGTGACTCGAACTGCTGCACATGGCTGCAGGGGAGGTTAGGTATGAGGCTAGTAATCTCATCACATAGAAGGCAACACCAATGCCACTGATAGATTTTGTCAGTGTGGCAGTGGCCTCATTCTTAGAAGTACCGACTTACAAGACAAGTCTTTTAACATTCACTCCCTTGACTGGAGTCCAGTAACTTATTTATTCCCTAGTAATATTGTCTTTCTGTGATATGATGCCAGTGCTGTGTAATTAATCCTTTAGGAAGACGGACCAGATTAGCCAGAATTTCATATAAAAAACTTTTAGAAATTTAATCTCTTAACTGTACTTACTACATAAACATGTGTGCACTTTTCCTTCTACTCGCGCATACACGCAGTTAATTTTCGTAAAATCTTAAGTTTAAGTATCTCCCAAAGTATCCAAATCCCAGTTCACCGATAGCTGCTGCATGGATGTTCCGTATCTGTAGTAAGGAGTCATGATCAGTAGGATCCTCAAAATGTCAGTCAAGGTGAAGTAGTGAATGCTCGTCGAAGTCATTGTTTGATAAAGTAAGAATCCACTGATCACTGAATTCCCTGCCAAGTAGCTAAATATTTAATGATCTTGATTTGGTACCCTAAAAGGTTCTGGGTTCGATTCCTGACAGAGCGACCGTAAGTTTGCACTGATGAAGAATTCAGAGCTAGGATGAAACATCTGTCCAATGCACCCTTGTTTTCAATGATCCTTCTAACTGAATTTCGTTTGATATTGAAATTCAAGCATTTGATTGGCTTGCGTGATGATCACCAGATTTGATAGGTAGCATATAACTGAATCGACTTTGATCTGATAGTCTTAAAAGCTCATAAATATATGTTTGAATAAATTGACCATTCACAATATCTCATCAGTCGATTATCTGATCTCATGTGCGTGATTTGAGTAATCATGTCATTACAAATTGATGTCTGATGGACGGATGATAAGGGAAAACAAAGAGATCATGATCAGCAATTTCGGTCTTATGCTATAATACCCTCATGAAACTTAGAAAATGGCACATTCCATGAGTATAAGAACATTTTTATTTTGTAGAATTTTACTCTGAAAGCAACTGGATCTGAATTTTCATTCATTTTTTTTTGAGATAACCACTTAAGGATTTTAATTGACTTGTTTTTCTGAACTGAGTGGTGCACATTTCTTCGCGTTCCAAGTAGAACATAGGACTTCAGGCTGTGAGCTCTGAAATTCCATTAGTTGTTATGGTGGTGTTGTCAACTAGACAGAATTTAGAATCACCCCCAACGGGTTGATCTCTGACGAAATCTCCGCACGGATACAGAGGGCTAGCTTCTCATTTACCAGTTTACGCCGACTCTGGCGTAGACGAGATGTTCGACTATCGACCAAAGGGCGGGTGTACTGCTCATCAGTCCACTCCGTCCTCCTTTATGGTTGTGGGACCTGGCCACTCAGAGTGGAAGACATGAAAAGACTAGCTGTCTTTGATCATAGGTGCCTGAGCTCTATTTCCCGTGTAAAGTGGCATAATAAGGTGAGCAACATTGAGGTTGGGCGTAGAGTTCTAGGTAAACAGGGGAAATCAATCGACGAAGTCATGAAGTTACAAAGACTGAGATGGTTAGGACATGTGTTACGTATGCACGCCTAGTCATCGCCTCCATTGACGAGCAATGTTAGCGGATATAGGGTCAGGCTGGAAAAAAGCTAGTGGCGGTCAAACAAAAACTTGGCACCAGTCAATGAAATCCACAACAGTTGGTCTAAGCCACGTAGGAAGGTGTAGACTTCCAGGCTGGGGTCCTCGGGAAGGTAAAAATCTATGGTTGGAAACAATTGGTGACATGGCTGAAAATCGTTCTCAATGGCTGGCGCAGATGCATCCACTCCTTGTGACTTATGATCTCCAATGAAACTGTATTGTTCTTCGTTATTACTCCTCCTTTGTCTCACACCTCTGTTTACTGTCTCTATTATGCTTTTCTTGTACTTTCTTCTCTTGCTTCGCGTGCCACACGGAGTGTGGCGACTTGAACTGGTGCACATATGTGCAAAGTTCTATGTCGAAAACAGACAGACAGACTGACAGAATTTTGCCGGATGAGAATTGAATCTTGTTCACCTGCATGGTTGGAGAGCATTTTGTCGTGGGATCACGGATGCTTCAAAGTTATGCACTGGCCTGGAGTTGATTTCCTCTCCTTACCTACTATTCGATCGATGCCTAACCTCAATATTACTTCTCCTATTATGCCACCTAACACGGGAGATAGAACGCAGACACCTATAATCAAAGATAGCTAGCTAACCTTTTCATGTCTTCCACTTTCCATGGCCATGCCTCACAGCCGCAAAAGGGGACGGAGCGGACTACTGAGCAGAAAACACTCCCTTTGGTCGACAGTCAGCCGTATATCACATCTATGCCAGAGGTGGCGTAAACTGGCGTATGCGAAACTAGCCTTCTGTGGTCAACACGCTCTACCACTTCACTCTCTGTTTCTAAGCTAGGAGTGAGTTAGTCGATTTAGTCCAGTCCTGTAGCATCATCTTACATTTGACAGGAGCGAATCGCATGTCAAACATTCAAAGACTGCTGTCCCTCAAGGCGTTTAGAAGACTCTGCCTTATGTCGTTGTCCTCACCTAGGAGGGAGGACTATATCGTCTGCATATTCAAAGTCAACGAGATTATTCTCTACTGGTGACAAGTCAATCTCTGAGTCACTGAAGTCACTTAGGTTTAATTCCATTAGTGCATCTGTGACAAAATTTAGTAGAAATGGGTACAGCGGGCATCCGCGGCGGACAGCACTGGTTGTCACCACTTCAGATGAGCTTATTGCTAGTTCGCAAAACAAGCAAGTAGTCTGGGTTGCATTTCTGACCAATGCGTATTCATAAACTTCGTCTTCCTTACTGACTGTGATAGATATTAGACAAAAAAAAGATGGAAGGTTGTACATCAATCTAGGAGCTTCACCTCATGATACTTTAAAACTTAATGCTAGTAGCACTATGGATCACTCCAAATGCAAAATAATAACGGAACTAAATGTGTTCCCTTATCGCATTTAGTATTTTATGTTCAGCGTTTTTTACTAACATTCTGTGTATCAGAATTTAATTGTTGGATGGTGACTAGCAGTGGAATCCAGGACGCGCATTTCGTCCTTTTTGGGACTCGTCAACTGAATGTGCCTGCATTCCCCAGTGAGTGATGATGTTCTCACCGCCGAGGCTCGAACCCAGTGTTCATAGTTTCAAATGCCGAAGCGTTATCCACTAGACAACTTGGGCCAAGACATCGTCAAAGCGTCTGCAGGAGAAGCCGATATGTCAATCTGCGACCGAGAATTTCGGTCCAATCAATCGATGGGAAAATCTAAAATTCAATAAAATAGTCTATGTATCAATTAATATTTGAACTTTGAGTATTGATTTTTCTTTTATTATTTTGTTTCCCTCCACTTTCATCCATTCTTCTAGCAAACGTTAATCGTACACGAAGAAGGCATTATACACTTCCATCGAATTCTCTATCATTCTCATCCCCGTCTACATCATTGACATTAGTAACAGCTGATAAACAACAACAACTACAACAACAGCGACAACACCGTGAAGACACTGGGAATACTTTAAATAATAATCAAACAGAAATTTCTATAAATGTTAATCATAAATTAAACAATACACAAATATTCAGCGATGAAAATGATATCAGCCAGTTTAGAGCATACTCTAAAAATGAAAATACTCTTAATGTTGATGGTTTAGATACTCAACGAATCAATAAGATTGAGTAAGTGTGTTTCTTTTTGTCATTTTGTGTCTGAATCAATCGATAGTGGCTTGGTTAGTTGGTTGGTTGGTTGGTCATTGTGTTTAGAGATTTAATTAGTTTTGAATATTTTTCAAAGTTTCTGGTGTACGTGGATTTGATTGACCGCCAGGCGTCGAATCGCCAACCTACCAGTTACAAGGTGAGGTGTTTGAACACTCAGTCAATGGGATAAAATCCAACTTCTACCAATTTGCTATGTATAGCGCCACTGTCAGTCAGTCGATGGTCCTTATCGAATGATTTTAATGATATATCCCCTCAAATATCGGCTTGTTAATTTCACTATCACACATAAAGGTGATTGGATGGAGGATTTCATTATTAGCTAACATCGGTTAAAGGACCACTGGGAAACCACCTAGGAAGAAGTACTAGATAGCTGTTTCTTCAGCCTAGTTTGGGATTCTTCACAGTACGCACTCACTGGGGCTCGAACCCAGGACTTTCTGATTACAATGGGAGCTAGCTCATAGACCATTGGGCCACTGGGACGCGATCCAATTCTAACTTCTGGCAATTCACGACATAGCGCGACCATTTCGCAATGTCTTCTTCAATGAGTTACTGCTTTATCTTCAACCTGCTACACCCTACTGGTCACTTCTTCTCCCTAGATCCCCAGGTCTCTGCCTGAATTGGGCCAGTCGCTAGTGAGTATCAGACTGATTTTCAAGCATTTGTTTTGGTGGGGATTTTTTGTTTGATTGGTTGGAGGATTTCATCATGAACTGATATCGGTTAGAGAACCACTGGAAAACCTTCAGGGAGTGATGGACAGCTACTTCGTCTTAGGTGATTTACATGAACTGGTTCGTTCTCATGATTCGTGTATATCATAGAAGGGATTGAAGTTGAAATTAAGTCGAATGTTAAATACCTCGTAATATATCCTTCATCTGATATTTTCTGGAACTCTCACAGCACATTAATTCCTAGACGGATATTATGTCTAAGTTAAGATAGTCTTGCATATCTCAGTCTGTAAGTTTTATAGTTTTGTGAATTCTTTTGTATTCTACCTTGTTCTTCTTTATTGCCCCCCCCCCCTACCTTAATCTTTCCTGGCCTAGTTAAGAAAGACTTTGTTAGATTGCTACAGGGTGAGTGAGGAACCATTAAATCAAACTGTTATTACTCTTGTGGATCGACACTTGAACTCATATAAGATACTGGTGAACATTACTTTGTCCGAGTCTGAGACACAGTACACAACTCTCCCGCCCCCCACACACTACATCTCATCAGGTAGGACTAAGAACATTTTTTTAAACGACTTTATACTCGAATGACAAAGTATAAAAAGCCTACGAAACCTTATTTTACTCTTTCATTTTACTTGGCGAGAAAAGTTTTAGGTATGAAAATACTAACTTACTGTGAAACGCTAGATTATTATTATTGTTTCATGTAGTTCCTATAGGAACATAGGGCTTCAGCTATACGTCCTCCATGTCATCCTTGGAACATCACTCGCCACTTCCCATTCCGGTTAAACTAGACCGATGGCCTGAAGTGTTTTGTCACTTGATGGTTTGTTTTCCTAGAGTGTATGGCTTCTAATCCACCTCCATTTCTTCCTGCATATCTGTTGTACAATTAGTTCCGGCTGGGTTAGTACTCTCCTAGAGATCCCTGCCTATTGCTGATTCTTTCTGGATGGCCATCTGATCTTGAGCAAAGTAGTGAGCGAAGACAGCTGTTGATGAAACTTCGTAGTTTGTTTGAGGTGCCCTTCATGATGCGCCGAGTCTCTGATTCGTATAGTAAGTAGCACTGACTTCACATTCGAGTTGATAGTTCGCATCTTATTTGTCATGCTGAGTGGTGTTGATCTCCACACAGACTTGATAGTAGTGATGAAAGCCTGCTTGCCTTGCTTTCTCGATCCCTGCTGCTTTGATATCAGAAAGAAATCAGCTGTGAAAAGGCACACGATATGTATTACTGTTTCATATCGATGCATGTAGATAATTATGGACACCAATTTGCTGGTCAGGATAATTTGGGAAATCATAAATTGAGGAAAAACCAAAAATGCAGCCAGCTCCACAATTAAATCAACCAACTCCGAGAACACAACTAAACTAAAATAGTCGTGTTACCTATTTATTTATTATTTATTTGATTAATTAAGAAACTTGATCGGTATCCATATGTATCCATAATAATAACTGCAAAGTGATCTGTGTTTAAGATCACAAGTAACAAATACACACACGTGCGCACACACAGAGAAACAGTATTATTTACTGATTGTACATAATTTTATGAGTGGTGTTCCGTCGGTCTAAAGTGGAACCTATTTTAACTGGACACTAGTAACTAGTGTGACGTGTCTAGTCCTTTGTTTAGTGTAGTATGAATTCTATCCATCAGGTTTGAAATGTGGCCACCATGCCACTAGGTAGCTCGCCGTCACGGTGCACATTGATCTGATGATATTAGATGATTGGAGGCAATCGGCAGGAAGCCTCACCTGACCTAGATTTTGGTGCCAGCTGACACTCGCTAGTTAGCAAGGCGTATCTGCAACCACCTTGAAGGAATTCATGTCCATTCTGAGATTTGATCCTGTACCACTCAGTGTCCTCCGCAGTCACAGACGTTACCACTGAGCTATTCGGGCTTGCGATTGACCTACTGTAGGACCGTAGTAGGTTTTTTCATTAGACTCCTTTGACTCCCCAATGGAATATAGACGGCTTTTAGCTTGAAGCTTTGGTATTTCAATAGCTGATGTTTTATTCCTTTTGCGATGGGGGTTGGGGTTACTAGTCTCAAATGTCCAACCTTCCCTGTTTACTTACTGGCCTTACTACTGGCTGAACAAGGCTTATTAGCGTGTCAGCCGGGGGGGTGAGGGGTGGTCGGACCTCAGACCACATGAGGTGCGGTTGGCGAACATCCCATCATTGAATCAGCGACGCGGAAAATTCATATGTATCCATATGTCTAATAATTGTGAATTGATTTGTGTATCAGACTACTAAGACAAGGCTGCCTATTAATCACTGAAGAAGATATTCTTAATGGTGGCAGTGGACTGGATTAACAGGGCCAAAGAAGACACTGTTTATGGAAGACTATAAATTGTGCTCAAAATGTCATCCAGTTATAAATACTCTATGACCAATTGTGTATTATTATCAAATCAACTTATCGAATATGGAGTTATACTCTACCATAGTGTTGAATCACTATCCTATAAAATTCATTAGGAAGATCGAAAAAAGGCCAAAAGCAAAATAAAAATAATTGTGAAACTAATAATGATAACATAAATAAGAGAGAATATAGGTCATCCACTGTTATACCATATAAAGAGGGGACATCTGAGACCCTAAGTAGTAGGATTCTTCATAAAGCAGGAATTAGAGTGGTGGCATTAAAACCTAAAAACTCACTCAGGTAGGACAAGCTCTGTAGGCCAAAAGACCCGGTGGACCCAATTAGACAAAATAATATAATTTACAAAATACTCTTCAATGACTGTGAGTTAAGTCAACTACATAGGTCAGTCGAACTAGTAGATCAGGGGTAGTCAGATTGTCGGAACATAAGAATTTAGCTAAGGTAAGAATAGTTGACCCTGAGAAGATAAGTAATTTAGAAAAAAGCTCAGCAATTGCACTGCATGTATTAACACACAACCACACAACATAGAGTGCGAGAGGGTTAAAATTCTAAGAAGTAATATAAATAGATGGAGAGAGGGAAAGGTTGATTACTGAATCCTGACTGGTTTATTGAGTAGTCTACACCCAACACATGCAACAGAAATGACTCAATGCAAACACCAGAAATATGGAAGATATTATTACCACCAGTCAAATCAGAGGAGGATAATAAATAATCTTTAAATTTTATTTCAATTCACGTACGTCATAACATTCTAACAGGTTACTTATTCTGACTATAAAATAACACTCGTCTTATTTCCCATCTGATTGTGGTTGATCAGTAACATTCATATTATTATTTCTGAATGTACATTGTCCTATATTGACTTTTATTTCAATATCTAATCGATTCCACATATGTATATAAATGAAAGAAATAAGTTTTGTGAGTAACTTGATATGATTATGAGCAAAAGTTTGTGCTCGAAACGTCATCATTTAATATTACTGTCTAACACTGTGTGATTTATCAAAATAAAATCTTATCCATAATGGAGTTATACTCTACCCCAAGTTTTATACTTATATAAGACATTCGGAGTTATTAAATAGCGCCATATAGCTTAGCTTCTGGTTGATACAGGACACCAGATGAACATAGTAGAATCTTTCAAGGATTTCATCATGAGCTGACATCGGTTATAGGATCATTGAAAAACCACCAGAGACACGCACTGGACAGCTGTT